GGCACCTCACGTCCGCGACACGTCCGCGACGCGTCTGCAGGTGCGCCGGCCGCGCAGGCTTCTCGCGGAGGGCTTCGGGCTGCGCCTCCCTAGAAGCACGCGGCACTCGCGCCACCGGCCGCGTCGCCCCAGCCCTCAGCCACGCCTCGCGAAGCTTCGGGTGCCTCTGTCTCGGCCATAGGCTCGCCGTGCACGACGCGACCGCGGACCTGCGCTTCCTCGTCCTGCCGGCGCGGCCCGAGGGGACCGGCGGCTGGTCGGCGGAGCAGCTCGCCACCCTCGTGACACGAGACGCGATGATTGGCACCGCGGTGTGTGAGGTTGGGTGACGGGTTGGGGCATGGGCCGGGGGGGAGATATAGCGCTGAGCGCGCGGGTGGCGGCTGGCGGGAGCCTGGAGACGAGTTAAAGCAGAAAGGCGGGCGATTTTTTGCACCACATCCAAGCCGTATACATCCTTTTTACAAAACGTCAGGGGCGGCGACCCCCCCATCTACAGATGATATGCGCATCTCCTAGATGCCAAACGCCATCTAGGATGCGTTTTCCATCTAAGGACACCGGGTGTCTCCACTATGATTGGGTTCGAAGATTTAATCATCTTTAGATTAGGGTTGTCAAACGTTAATCTGGGGCCTAACAGTTGCACTATTGTTGGCTGAAATCCTCAACGTTGTTCAAGTGTTCATCCCAGCCCATGCTGTTACTGTTTGTCACTGTTGTTACTGTTGTTCAGCGGCCAGCAAGCAGAAAATGGCAAAAAAGCCGGGTAAAACCCGAAAATACCTGGTATTTTCCGGGTATTTTCGGGTATTACCCGCACCACTGGGGGGACACTAGAGATCATCGTACATCGACATCGTGGGTCACTGCCCCGCCTTCCTTACTGTTGTTCAGTCGGCCTAACGTTAGCCACTGTTGTTGGGGAGCCCCACTGTTGTTCTGTTGTTACTGTTAACACTAGCAACACTGTTCAGCTCTTAACGTTTGACAACCCTACTTTAGATGGTGCCCTGCGTCTTTTGATACCTCTAGCCCGTGACATCTTGAGCACTTGAGCACTGGATAGGGTCGATTCCGCGTGGTACGGGACCCCTCGATCGTCTCGCCCACCCTCACTGGAGTGTTCATTGGGGGGGGGGGTCATAAGCTCATAACAAACACGGTACAGGATCGAGGTGCACGCGTGACATCTCAGATACTGCAGTCGTCTTCAGACGCACAACGGCACAAGCGTGCCGAGATGATACCCTCATCTTGGGTTAGTCCATGCATCCCAGGATGCAATGTGGCATCTGAGGATGCGCAATGCATCTCAGGAACATGAGCGCGTTGTCGGATTTTCCCAATATTTTCGCTCGACAGTGTCGGCGGTTTTTTGCCGAACCCGAACCCGAATTAAAAACCAGTCTTGCATATACAACCGCAACCGGGGTCCATGCAGTAAAGTCAGCATTAGCACAAGGGCTAAGAAAGTGCCCCCCCACCATCACTCACTGGCTCCCAGTTCCATATCACCATCAGTAGTATTCCAACAGTCAGACGACAGAGTAGTCACATCTCACTTAGCATAGCAACTGAAATTAGCATAGATTCATAGTCTCCACTCCAACTCGTTGATCCAAGGGCTCACACGCCGCTCAAGTCTTTATATTTAACTTTCTAATTAGATGCCGAGCATCTTTTGGGATGCGAAGCACATTGTGCTTCGCATCCCAAAAAA